GAAGCTAAAAACAACTTGGAAATGAAAACTAGTGAATTTGAAACAATATATACAGTTAAATATTTTTTCTTTAAGCTTTAGTTTATAACATTTAGAAACTCTTTGTTGACTATTCTTTTATTTAAAAGCTAGCTCACTGAATGTACCGCCTGGCCACTGGATTGGCTGGAAGGTGTCACTTTTTTGTCAAAAACTCATTGCCTGAGTTGATTGGTTGTATTTTTTCTGACCATACTCCCATGTCAGTTACAGAGCCAGTACCGATACAGTTCTGTCTAGCAGCATTTGCCACTAAACACTGATGGGCAAGCACCTAGAAAATGCTATTTTTATTAGTTCCTAATTTAAAAATAGGAAATGATTGTTTTAAGTAGAACAGCTACTAAACTATAAATTGAGCTGCTTTTCTGATCCAACTCTCAGTCTTCAAGCATTTCTGTTATTTGTGTTTTATATACACACACGTACACACACATCTTGAGATGTAGTGATAGAGTGCTCCTAAGTCAGTGGTTCTCAACCTTGGCTGCGCATTAGAATCACCTGGGAATCTTTTTAAAATCCTGATTTCTGGGCTTCAGCCTCCGGAAATTCTTTTTCTTTGTTATGAGGTGGGGCCACAACATTAGTAACAAAGAAACAGAATTTCCGGAGGATGAACCCCAGAAATCAGGATTTAAAAAAGATTCCCAGGTGATTCTAATGCGCAGCCAAGGTTGAGAACCACTGTCCTAAGTACTACAGCGGAATCCTTGTAATTGAGGAATTACTAGGTTACTGCATTTGTGGATTGTTTGACCTCTGGCCTCAGTGTTACTTTCCTCTTTATTGATCATGTAGAAGATAAGGTGGTGGTTCCCACTGGAGTCTGGCTTGAAGAGAAGATGTGGGGGTGAAGGAAGCAGATTGTTGCTTTGAGGATATCTTCATTAGGAAACTGGCTTGAGATGGACACATCTGTGACCCCTCATTTATCCTTTTTTTGTGCCATGAAAAACAAAGTTTAATCCTTGAAAATTGTAGATAATGTGGCAGTCTTACTGTTCTCACAATCTTCAGCTCAGTGGCTACTTTCTTCATGAAACTTTATTAATACTGTGTTTTCTTTGTTGTTGAAATCTGACATGAGTGATTTTTTTAAAATATGTTTTATTGATTTTTTACAGAGAGGAAGGGAGAGGGATAAAGAGTTAGAAACATCGATGAGAGAGAAACATCAATCAGCTGCCTCCTGCACACCCCCTACTGGGGATGTGCCCGCAACCAAGATACATGCCCTTGACCGGAATTGAACCTGGGACCCTTGAGTCCGCAGGCTGACGCTCTATCCACTGAGCCAAACCGGTTCTGGCGACATGAGTGATTTTATCTCCATGTTCTCAGATTGTACATGCACTCATTTGTTGGATGCTTCTGTGGTTAATTGGTTGCAAGCCGTTTTGCACTTAGTAGCCTCTTTTCAACTGGCTGAACCTGAAAACCACCAACGCTTTGAAGAGCCACGGAATTGTCGGGAAGGAATAAACTGGAGTGTTCTGAGACTCTTTAGCTCATAGGGTGCTGGAGAGGCGTTGCCTTCTTGGGTTCAGGACATAATAGTGAGATGGTGTGCACTGTACAAAGAAAAATAGTCACCGTCTAGACGTGCTGCTGCTTCTAGTCTCCAACTACAAGGTGGTGTTTTGCAGGGGAGAAAAGGAGAGAACAACTTTTAAAATTGCTTGGAAGGAACAGATTATTAATATTGTGTAAGTAGTTGTAATATCTTAGATCAGATAGGGTTTTGCAATTTTCAAAGCCCTTTCACTCACAAGTTGGTGGAAGCACATATTTTATTGCACGTAACTTTTTTGCAGAATGGAGCTGGATACTCTTAAACCATCAGCCTGGCTCTCACAGGGAGCAGCTACATGTTTGCAGAAATGGCAGCCATGCAGAAAGTTCTGCCTGTCCTTTGATATCTCCAGTTCGCTATCATTTTTTCTCAGGCAAAGAAAACATCTCTCCATCAGCCTGTCTGGGCTCCCTCTGAAGATCAGTTTGATCAAAATTCAACAAAAGTCCCCTCTGACCCTGAGAAGCTCTGGAAGGGCTGGAGCGGGAGCCCGCAAACCCTCTGCACCTCAGAGCACAGCCGCAGGGCTCCAGAGCAGCGTTGCCTCTCCAGTCACCTGCTGGGCAGTGGGTGTCAGTCACAGCCTTGGCCTTGGTTGCAGGTTGCTTTTCCTGAGACCTGAGGACTCGGCCATTTGTTTACAGGCGCGTGGTTCCAGAAGTAGCCGTACTTATTAGAGAAAAGCCTCTCAAATTATAAGCAAATCTCTCAGTCTCATCCTGAGAAATAAAAGTACATATCTTCTGCAAAACATTCATCACCGTTGTGTTTAATTAACAGCTCTATTTCCATGGGATTGTAGGTTCCATAAGGATAGAATCTGTGTTTCTTGTGTTTGCCCCTCTTTCTTTGTTTGTTTTAAAATGAGATTTTACTTTTCACATAAACTGAGGCCCAGACTCGGGCTGTTCCTGGGTTGGTCATTAAAAACTCAGGGACTTTACCACTTTCTACTCCATTATGTCCAGGTACCAACAAGGTGCGTGTGGTTTGGTTGGTTGCCTGAATAAAAAGTGTAAAATTTAAAACTGGCCTGGGTCGTTACGGCCTGTGGGCTGAGGTAGAAGCGTAACAAGTGTGATGTCCCAGGGCTCCCCAGCCCCCAGCCATTGCCTCCTCCTCCTCTCTCCCCGACCTCCCTGCCATGCCCACCAGACAGCCATCAGTTCTCTGGCCTCAGTTTCCTTCCTATTCTTCCTATTAGGCTATTAATCATACTGTTGTCAAAATGCCTTTTTTTTCATTTCTCTTCCACATTACCTGTTGTGTCCATGTCCTTTATTGCCTGTCCTTGCCCTATATTTTAGTAAAGGGAGCCATAAAATTTATCTTCCCATGGCATTCACATGGCCAGATATACATTTATGAGCCAGGCCAGTAATAAGGCTTCACCATTTAGTGAGAAAACAAAGTGAACATCTCAGAGTCCCCAATGGGCAGGCCTTCTGGATTCTAGTTTGCTGGGGTCCAACCCCAGCAGGTCCAGGGGTTCCCCAAAGGTGTGGACGGAGTCGGCGAAGAAGGAATGACACGGAGACAGCATTCAGTTGATCAGCAGCCTTGCCAGGATCTCTAGCCACAATCTCCAGCCAAGTACTGTGTCCATGTTCTCTTGCTAGGTTCTCCAGCCAGGTTCTCCAGGTTCTCCAGCCAGGTTCTGTAGCCATGCTCTCACACTAGGTTCTCCAGCCCG